AAGTCTGTCAGCTGCTGTTTAAATTTTTGTGTTTAGAAGTATTATGGTAGCTGTCACTGTCGTGAAGTGGCTCACATAAGGTTAGAAGGACAATTTCCAATTTGAGCTTGGAAAGTCATTTTGCTAATTTTCTGTCATTTTTGCAACCAGGTGTAAATCAGTCACTTCTAAATAGGTCAGGCTCATTCTGGCTTCATTCCTGGTTGAGGAGACAAAGAAATTAGAAGACATGCCATGAAGGGTAGAGGGAAAGGTTTATATACTTTTAATATTCTGCAGAGAAAGAACTGAGAGGTTAAGTATTCATTTGTTCTAAGTTCTTTAAGCATGCACAAATAGAAGTGAAAGAAGACACAGGGTAGACAAAAATCCTAGTTGGCTTGAATGTTTTTACAAACCTGGAATGATGACCCAACCTGGGACAGACAGAGTCAGAATCACTGAAATAAACTGAAGAAGAACACAATCCTGACTTCTTAGTGAATACTGAAAAATAAAACCCAAACTTGACCCTTCTAGTTAATAATCCAAAATGACTAGAGACTTGCTTTTCTCAACTATTAGAAAGTGATAGTCTTTGAATTCATTACCAGAGGACCCAGGTCACATGGTCAGCTCTCAAGAAGCAGTGCTCCTGACTGGGGACAGAGGCTTGGGAGACACCTGCAAAAGAGGTAGCCACAGATGTGCTTATCAAGACCACAGACAGACAGATGTGGGATAGATGAGTGCCAACTCCTCAGCTCTTAGTTATGATAATTGCTAAGGTTTAACTTCTTCACCTGGAAATACGGATATTAATGGCACCTTACTTCCTAGAATTTTTAGGATGAATAATAAAATAATACATGGAAAATGTTTGAGATGGAGTCTAGCACTATTAAATACACAGTAAATATTAGCTATTAATGTCATCAAAAAAATAGGTAACTGTAAATGTGTTTTATATCTGGATTTAAATGTGTGTGGGTTTTATATTTAGTCAATTGCTTCAAGGGGAAATAACAAAGCCACAGCAAGACATCAAACAAATGGCTACATACTCAAATCATCTTGGGGAATAGAAATAGAAGTTAAATGTGTTTAAAAACACAAAAAAGTTTTTTAAAAAAAAAGTTATAGCAGGACTTCTCATATATTTTAATATGGCAATCTGCATTGTGAATGTCCAGTTTCTTATAGGATTTTCTTTCTCTTTTCTTCTTATTTTTTTCAAATCTTGGATTTCTTTCTTCCCCCCATTCCTCCAGGATCTCAAGGAATTAGATCTCTTCAGAATACACTTTAGGGAAAGCTTGGTAGACTAGACTATACTCCTGTCGATTTTAAGAAAAAATTTGTAGAAACAAAAGCCTAGGGAATAGTTGTCCAATACTCATTGTCTAAACCCTTGTTACTCAAACTGTGGTGTATGGAATAGGGAGCTTGTCAGAAATGACAACTCTCTGGGCCCTAACCCAGATCTCCTGGAAAAAAGCAATATGTATGTATACACATAGATATATATATATTTTTTCTTTTAAACAAGATCTTCTGACGATTTCTATGAGCATTTAAAATTTGGGAAACCTTTGCCTAAAGAAAGTCAGTCTTTTCAACTGTGTTGTTGATCTTTTCTGTTGAGTATGTCCTTCCTGAATAAATCCAGATCAAGAGACACTGACCTGGAAGTGTCTGTCTGTCCACAAGGCAGGCCATCACTCATGTCCAGTGAAATTCCCAGTGTGTAAAGATGACTGCTGTGGTGCTCAGAATTAGGATCTTACCATGCTAGTGCTAGCAGCTCTTGGAAGCATTGCTGGACTTTGCTCTGCATTTGTCCTGATTTCAAATCTTATTAAGCCAGGGAGTAGTGCATGGCAAGTGGTTAACCCTGCCTTGGCTATTCATGTTTTGCAGTTCATTTTTATTGTGCTAATTAAACATCAAGTGATATTTCAAGTACAGATTGTCTTTTTTCCATTATTGAATCTTTGGCCAACATATTAACGTTGTAGAATTAACATGAGTCAGATGCTTACTCATTTATGGAAGACTTTACATTTAAAAGATCTAGACTTGGCCAATTTTGTACAGATTCCTTTGGAAACTGTTATGACAGGGTGATACAATTTCTCGATAAATAAAGAAAATTCATCCTTCTTTCATAAAATAGACACATAATTTTTTAAATGAACCAAATTTCTAGATCATGGATATGCTGTGGTATTTATGGTCTGTGCTAACATGGATGTATGTAGCTCTGGGATGTAGTGTACTGTAGTGATGAAGACCCTAAGCTTAGCTGGGTGCTGGTGGCTCATGCCTGTAATCCTGGCTACTTGAGAGGCTGAGATCTGGAGGATAACCAGAGTAAAATGGACTGGAGGTATGGTCCAAGTGGTAGAGAGTTGCTTTGCGAACAGAAGCCCTGAATTCAAACCCCAGACCCACCAAAAACAAACAAGCAAAAAGAACTTAATCTTTAAATTCCAGGCCTACATTGAATTGGGCAATTTTTAAAGATATATTTGACATTTCCAACTCATAGACCTCATTAATTAAAGACAAAATGCTTACCTTTCTGACTAGCTAGGATTACCGACATGAGCCATGGGTACCCAGCTAGCAAGACATTCTATAAAATGTGTGAATAGTCAAGAATCCTCAAATATTTGAGGAAAGGTTATAATATGAAAGACAAACATAAAGCAATCATAAAGAGGAAGGAAAGCCACCCACAATTGCAAGAAACAAAGTTGATATCAACAGAAGGAAAAAAATCAAAAGAAATCATCAAAAATATCTCAGGATCAGAAGAGATATTATACCAGTGAAAGAAAACTAGGGTTCTATGTAAAAGAAGAATGTTCAAGAAAGAAAAAGAGCCTTGGAAACTAAAAGTATGGCAGAGGAATTAAAAAACCTGAAAAGAAGATTTGAAAGGTATTTCTGAAGAAATTTCTCTGTAGATACAGCAAATAGACACAAAGGTGGAAAATAGGAGAGAAAAAATTCAAAAATGAGATGGGCTGTTCAGAAGATCCAACATCCAAATAAAGAGAGCTCTAAGTGGCAAGAAATCGTTGCATCATAGCTGAATTGACATTTTTCTCCTTTCTTTGTGACACATATCTTAATGTGCTATTACATTTTAGCTGGTACAGGTATCAATAAGACTTATATACCCATAATAAGCTTTATATTCCTATTAGACAATATCACTTCATAGCATGTAGAAAGATGCAAAGACAGAACTGTGTTGAGAAAGGTATGGGCACATGGGGGAGCTGATTTCTCTGTGTGAAAGTAAGTGGTCTAGTTCTCTTACATGGTGGGAGGTTCATAGACAATGCTAAAACAGAAAAACCAAGACATAGCAATATAATTGTCACAGAAGAACACATTGAGAATTACCCAAGACCATCCTTTAGTATGAGCCAGGTTTAGGGTTTAGGCTCATTTCTATTTGCTGTGCTGTCTCTTGGCCATTGTTGAGTGCTTCATTGCCCCATAAATATAAGGGTATTATGGGTTCTTTGAAATCTTGTGAAAGATGTAGCATAGGTATATATTGAATGCTTATAGGAAGGAAGAGTTTCAAAGAGGTGCTCCCCAAAGCCAGATTTGATTGGGCTGTTCTTTTCTCAATGGTGGGAAGACCATGAGACATATACTACAAATCTTGCTCTAGTCTGATTTCAATATTAAAGAACAATGGCTTTCAGTCCAGGCAAATAGTTTGTGAGACCCTATCTTAACAAAACCTATCACACACAAAAAAAAAAGGCTGGAGTGGCTCAAGGTGTAGACCTTCAGTTCAAACTCCAATACTGAAAAAAAAAAGGCTTTGTCAGTAAGGGATACTTCGTAAAGAAGTGTTTATGCATGGCAAAGTGAAGATAGTGGGTCAGATGGATGGGTTAATTGCAATTTAATGGTTTTTGGAGACAAGTTGCTTTATTTGATCACCAGGTTGCTTCTCAATTAATGACCTATTATTGTTATGTGGGACCCAGCTCTCAGGGTGAAGAGTCCCAAGCAATGCTTCTGATGTCAAGAAGGACATTGGTTTGACTGGAAGGACCTGTTATGTTGTTTCTTCCTCTGACAAAAGCAATCAGATTCCTCTGTAAAAAGTAGTGTACATACCCAATAGGAGTGATACTTTGATGAAGTGATAGCATTAATTAAAAGCTTTTGAAATGTAAGGCTATAAAAACCACACTCCACTGAAATGTTAAAAAATGTTTATAAACACTTAAAATTATTAAAAATTTCCTCTGAAAACGAATATATGTTTAGGGTTTCCAAAATAAAAAAGAAAAGAAACTTTCATTGTAGTAAGTGTTCGTGTTAACTTTTCCTCACGCTGCAAATGGAATGACCAGCTTTGCTCATAACAGTTAATGGTGATTCATATTATCTGGAGGCATCCTAACCTTGTGATGTGTCAAGTTTCATCTTTGAAAAATGCTTTGAAACTACATTTTCTTCAACAGTCTGACCCTTTGAAGCCCTGGGTCTGATAGTAGGTTAAATTCACGAGTTACTTAATGCAAAAAACCCCCCAGATTTATGAGAAAACATAGATGCATCTTATCCTTTTGTTCTTTTGATTATTAAAAAAGAAGTAAAGGGAGGAGGCAGGGGGAAATAAATGATATAAGAGGTTAGTCCATAGGCACAGTGCTTGTTTATGTACAAAAAACTGGATTAGCAGCTGAAAAAACAGAAAGAGGTGGAATTCAAAGTTCTGTGAGCTAGTGTTTTTTTTTAAGTACAAGGGTTTTTTTCTTGCAATAACCTTTTAAAGAAATGTAATAATCTGTGTTCAAATCTAATTACTGTACACTTTTTGTCCATATTACATTTATTAAACTTATCAACTTGACACTTTTTCAGTCTCAGAAAGTAAATGATTGATTTTGCAGCATAAAGACTTCTCAATTTATTGCTATTACTTTGAGACTTTATTTAACCATTTGCATATGTTTTTGTGTGCTTTTCTTATTCCATAGGTTTGCCATCTGTGAATTTGGCTGCACCTAACCTCACTGTGGAGGAAGGACAGTCTATCACATTGTTTTGCAGTGTGGCAGGCGATCCACTTCCTAATATGTACTGGGATGTTGGAAATTTGGTTTCCAAACATACAGTAAGTCTGATTTAGCTCTGTCTTAATAGAGAGATGAGAATATTTCCAAACTGAGATTGTACTAAATGTAGTGATAACCAGTTAATATTTTATAGGCCCACATACAGAATTTATGATGAAGTATTCATGCATGTAAATTTGCTTTCCATTTATTCTTAATTAGCAAAGACTAATGCAGGTTTTCATTTTAATTATTTACACCGAACAGATTGGAGAGTCTTTGTATTCCTAATAAGCTTTTTGTGTCATCCTGAGCTAGGAGAATCACTATCCGTGTGATCTTCTCTCTTGGAGGAAGGGGGTAGGAATCCCAGGATTAAGTCAACCTTACATGTTAAGTGATTGAAACCTAAACATAAAATAACTTCCCTTTTGTGAATCTAATGTTTTACACACACACTCACATGCACCTCCCCACACACATTTTTCTCTAGTTGGAGAAGAAACCCCAAATCTTGTCACTTTGGGATCAATCCTAATCAAGGTTATTTTTGTCTCTTAATTCATTTGTAGAATGAAACAAGCAACACACAGGGCTCCTTAAGGATAACTAATATTTCATCTGATGACAGTGGAAAGCAAATCTCTTGTGTGGCAGAAAATCTTGTAGGAGAAGATCAAGATTCTGTCAACATCACTGTGCACTGTACGTAATCAGACCAGCATATGTTTCTAATAGCAAATGTTGTGGACATTCTTTTGTTTGTCATTGAGGCACTCTGGGTGCTCCTTAAGTTGGTTTCCAAAGAGAACATCGCAGTGTTTTGTGCATACTTACCTAAGAAATGTTGTCATCCTTTTTCACTTGTTCCTTTTCTGCTTCATATTGCTGGCTCACACGTTGTCTTTCTTTTGAGCATTTTCCATTTGTGCATGTGTCCTATGCCTGTCCTTGTCTTTTTCTAATAGAACTTATTTTGAGCTAATTATCTTCTTGTAAACCTTATATTCTGATAAGTCAGTTTCTCAAATCTTTTTTTCCTCTCTGAAGGCAACAGGAAGCTTTAAAGTAGTGATACCTAAAGCATTTGCTGGCTGTTCAGAAACACCGAATTGCTCCATTGAGACAATTAAACCTTGTTAGTTTGGTGTTAAGTTTCTGTGGGAAGGTTGGAGGGGTCCTATTTAAACTATTGAAAATTAATATCACCCGCGGAAAACTTTTATTATTATTGTTTTACATTTCTGTGAGCAGTAAAGCTAAGATATAAGATGTCAATGCTTCTTAGTTAAGCATATGAGCATTGCTTTATGCATTATAAATAACGTGTCTTAAAATTCTAGATTGTGGGATTCAGCGTGAAGCTGTATCAGTGAAAATCACATAGAAACTTTACACCATCACAAATTCTAAGCTGCACAGTATAAATTAATGAGGTTTTACTCTGTCTGGATTAGGATTTGCATGAGAAAAATATCAGTGTGCATGTATGTAAATATGTGTACAAATTATACACATGTAGACACGTAGTTATAGCTGGTCTCCATATACTGATAACACTCACTCATAGCCTGCATTTACTGTGTGGTTGTTGGAGCCAGTGATTGAATCACAAACTATAATCCATTGTTACTCTCAGAACCCACTATGTCCAGTGACTATTTGACTTACAATTTCTCACCAAAAGGGGATCCTGAAGTCAGTGCTACTCCCAAACATGTAAGCCAGCTTCCAATTTAATATCCTGAGTCAACACCTCACCGAAAGTCATTTGAGCATGGTGAAAGGAATAAGTAGGCCCAGGGCATGGGGTATGGGTTGGTGAGGGAAGGTAAGTGTGGACCCTCCCTCACCCATGGTCTTTATAGTGGCTGGTTTATAATATACACCTAAAAAACATGTGGATCTACACGTGCATGACCTTATTTTATGTAATGAATATATAGAGTCCCTCAAATGTGTCCAAATTGAATTTTTATAGAGGGAATCAATGCATTAAAAGCTGTTTGGCTTTCCAAAAACTTTTTTAGGAAGGCCTGTGAGGAATATTTGTGAAAGCAAACAGTCAAACTTTGCAAACTTAGATTTTGTAACATTGCATTACTTACAGTGAAGGGCCCTGTAACAATACGCATTGGCAGAGTTTAGTAACTCCTCATGCTTAGCTGTGAGGAATCTCAGTGGTAACTGGAAATCTTTCTGTGGACTCTAAAAGTGAATTAAGTTTCTTTCCCAGCTCTGCTTCACCTTGGGGTAGTATTATGGGATGATTTTCCTGAGTACAAAGAGGATAATTTCATATTATATTCTATCTGTTAAAGACACTTGGGCTTGAGTTCTTTTCATTCTGATTTGCAGAGTTGATCTGCTTTTTCAAAGTTTAGATAAAGAGTAGAAGTGGTCTGGGGCATTGCTCAAGTGATAGAGGATTTGTCTAGCATGGGCAAGGCTCTGTGTTCAGTCCTCAGTATGAAAAAAGAGTAGAAGCAATAAAGCACATTAACATCTGAGATAAACATTGCAGGCACCCTCCTCCAAGTATTTGTGTGTCAGCAGGCTTCAGTGCCATTAAACTTCCCCCATTTGTGTGATGAACAATTAAGAGGCAGTGTGTGGAAGCTATTGAATTAGGCATAAAAAGAGTTGGATTCTTAGTAACCTTGATCAACTCTCAACTTCATTGGACTTGTTTCTTCACCTGAACAGTGATACTGTTAGGTCTTGAAGTTCTTTTCCAGAACTTTCTAATTATCAGTGTCACACTGCGTTATGATGAATGATTTTAAATGCCTTCATTCAGAATAAACATTTTATTTAAAAACACTGCTTAATAATCTTGTCCCCCCCGAGGATAAAGTGCTATTCACTTAAAACAACCTCTAGTATGTTTTTCTCAGCCTTATATTGGACTTTAGGCATTTAAATGATCAAAACATTGTATGTAGTATGTAGCACTGAAGTAATTCAATGCTTTTAAAGGGTATTTGCCGTTGACAAGTGGTAAAAAAAATCAATTTCTCATAATTTATGCTAATCAAATGGCATTCATAACAACATTCAAGCTGTTTCGATCAGCTTGATCTTGTTTTAATTCAGCTATGTGAGATCAAGTCTTCAGGGAAAGTTTGCAAAGTAATTTTTATTGTTATTTTGATTCTTTAGAAAAGAAGTACTGTGAAAATAGTGCCCTTATTATTCTCTGGTGATGGATCTACATAATATCAAAGTATATATGTGGGAAACCAAAATAGGCATCATATGAGCCCTTTCCAGTGGCAGAAATCTTTTGAATCTGTTTGGAGCTAGTTCTCATGTGCACTGAATATTGAAAAATGACTGTGATATATGGATCTGCAGGAGTCCCTCTCTGAGCTCTCTGTAAGGAGTTAAAACAACCTGATGGTGATGATGCAAAATAATGATGGATTCCAGAGTTATTGGTCCTGGGACTTCTTAAACCAAACAATGCTTGAATAAAATCCCCTAGCAGTGACGCAGAATTCTGGAGATGGAGAGAATTCTGACTTTCTGATGCTATTAACTCTTTCTTTTTCAATTTAGTTGCACCAACTATCACATTTCTCGAATCTCCAACCTCAGACCACCACTGGTGCATTCCATTCACTGTGAAAGGCAACCCTAAACCAGCGCTTCAGTGGTTCTATAACGGGGCAATATTGAATGAGTCCAAATACATCTGTACTAAAATACATGTTACCAATCATACGGAGTACCATGGCTGCCTCCAGCTGGATAATCCCACTCACATGAACAATGGGGACTACACTCTGATAGCCAAGAATGAGTATGGGAAGGATGAGAGACAGATTTCTGCTCACTTCATGGGCTGGCCTGGAATTGATGATGGTGAGTACCTGATGCTTTTTTGCATGTGGGGAGAAGATAGGGAATATTATTCAACTAATGACATAGTCATGTGTACAATGAACTATCCCCCACCTCTGTGGCTTAAAACATCATTATTTAGTCTTGCTCCTTAATCTGTAGATCAGTTGGACTGGTTTTATTCCATATGTTTCCATTCTGGGGTGCAGGGTGAAGAAGATGAAGCAACACAGAAGAGCTGCTTCTTGAGGCAAGGGCAGGTATAAGAGGACAGCTGGAAGTGTGCTGGGCTTCATGAGGCCCACATGTAGGGCTGGGGCACTGTCTCTGCTGTCTGTATGGCATTGACCCAGGCAAGTCATAGGGGCAATGCCAAGTCAAGGTGCAAGAATGTGTGCTACTCCTAGAAGGTGATAGGGGAATGAATAATTTTGGATACACAGGATTACTAATTAGTGTGCTCAGGTAGTTCATGAGAAAAGATTTATTATTATTATTGTTATTATCATCATCATCATCATCACAGTGTTTAGTGAGATTTTGTACCCACAATGGCAAAACTCATGAAAAATCAGAAGCAGATGAACTGTGTTTGGTTGGCTTGGATATATTTAAGATTTCTTTTCTTTTTTTTAATGCCCTCACTTTTTAATTGTTGTGCTGGGTGGGGGTACATTGTGACATTTACAGAAGTACTTACAATGTAGCAAATATACCATACTTGAATTCACCCCCTCCACCACTCTTCTTTATCCCCCATTCCTGGAATAGTTTCAGCAGGTACCACTTTTGCAGTTACATACATATGTACACAGTACCTGCACCGTAATCACCTTCCCACACTCTTTCCCCACTACCTTCCCCCTGCTACTGGTAGTGAACCCCTTCTCCTGGGCAGAACTTGTTCCACTTTCCTGTTTTCCAACTTTGTGGAAAAAAAAAAGAAAAGAAAAAGAAAGAAATGACATTTTTTGCTTGTTTAAGATAAAGACAGCTACACAAGGAAGTTTCCTTGTGACATTTCCATGTATATATGTCCTAAAACCCCAATTGTTTCATCTTCTCTATTTTTCTTCTTTCTACCTTAATCTCTTTCTTTTATGGTGGTTTGAACCGGTTTAAAAATTCTATATTCATTCTTGTATAGAGAGTACATCAACCATATTCACCTTTTCTTAGTTTCCTTCTTTTACCCTACCCCTCTTAGGTGTGACTTCCCCTTAGCATGGTCTGTTTTTCATAATACTGCTGAATTTGTGTTAGGCCTACATTCCACATATGAAACAAAATGTGGCTTTTGGCCTTCTGAACCTGGATAACTTCACTTAAGATGATGTTCTCCAGTTCCATCCATTTTCTTGCCTCTTATTCATTTGGAATGGAGAATCCTGAATTTTCACTCATATATGAGAAACTGATATCCTGGACTATTTTGCTTAACTATGCTGACTGGGCTGAGCCATCCTTTCATTGGATCCTGAGTTGGTTTTCTAGCATTGGTAATAGGACCTATCTGACCAACCAGTGGTCAGGTTAGGGAAGTATGGCTAGCATTAGGGTCCACTCTGTGACAAGTAAGAGAGTCACTGTGAGCTCTAGGAACCTCAGGAAAACTGCCATGGCTTTATCTGCTTCAAATGTTGTTCTTTAGCAGAGTTTTCTCATGTGATCAGTCTTGTTGCCCATTGTGAGGGCTGTGTTTGGCTGTTGGGACCTATACATGGATAGAACTTCTCACCATAGTAACTGAGAGTTAGTCAGACTCCCTCACACAGAGATGACCTGACAGAGGGAAGGGAAAATAGAAACATGGAGATTTGAGACAAGGAGCTTCTTGCGCACTTGCACAGGCTTACAGAGCTGTAACATGGACAAAGGTGATCCATGCAAACCCATTTGGCCATACAGTAAATAAGAATGCAATCATTCTCATTACATAAGGGCTTTCTATTGCCCTGGTATTTTACTGAACATTCTTTTAAATACACAAGCATTCTTAGTGCATTCAAAATGTGATTTGAATTATGTAAGCCTGATTTACAAACAGTCCTTCAGGAGCACATAAAACAAGCCACGTTTGGACGCAACACCCAGACACCTCTGGTTGTTGCAGTCATTCCCATTAAGTCTTCCGCTTAATTAAGAGTTTAGCTGCTTGGCTGTGTTTGCAGTAGTAAATCTCTAGATTACTTCTTGCATATCTCTGGGAGCAACAGCTTCAGAACTAAATCTGGAAACTCTAATTTGGACAACAGCTTTTTGTTTGTTCTTAAATAAAATTTTTGTGAGTAATTTTAGATTTACAGAAAAGCTGCAAAGATAGCACAGAAAGTTTCCAGGACCCCCACCCAGTTTTCCTGTGTTAACACCTTACATCACTGTGATACATTCATCACAATGGAGAAATTGACATTGATATATTACTGTTCACCATCAACAACCTTTTGAAACTGTTGGGGGTGAAACTTGATTCAGGGTGAAGGTCTGGAGTTTAAAAGCTGTCAGAGGCAGGGGTGCATCCTTTGATATCTGCACAGTGTAAAGCCAGTACCTTCTATTTTAGATGGGATTTTGATGTATTTTCTTTTGAAGATTTCTACATGGTGTTAATATTTGGTAGAACTGAACTTGTGTTATCTGTGTGACCTCATTTCTATGGTTCATTTCTGTTAGCTTTAACCTAGCTAGTGTTGGGAGAGAATTATTTTTTGGGATTATAATAACTTGATGTCTCTCAAATACTTATTTTTTAAAGAAATAATTACTCATAGAAAGTAAAATTAAAGTAAATTTTATAAAGTTGTTCTGTCTTCTTCCTTTCCCTCTTCTTGCTCATTTATTCATTTTATTAGATCTTTAAATTACAGATACATACGTATCTGCTTTGAGAAAAGCTCTGATTCATTTTTCTCTTTAACTATTTATTGAAAAGCAAGCTATTAAGGAGTAATAGATGAAAGTGGAAATGATAGAGACTTGGCCCAGGGTGACAGTGGATATAAATGGCCCTAGTGGGTCATAAACCAGTGAAACCAATTAGAGATTGACCTCGCTGGGCTTGTGGGATGTAATCCTTGTGGATATTCATGAGATTCATAGCCATACCTTTCAGATAATGACCTTTTAAAAGAATTGCTTCCTTTACCTCTTACCTCTCTTAGAAACAAAAGAAAGATAAACAAATAGGAAAAAAGAAAGAAAAACATTTCCCTGAAGTACATTCCAAGTTAAGGACAGTAGGTCAAGTTTGGCTGTACATTCTTTCAGTGTTTCTACTGTCATCATATAGTAATTGAGGAAGATGTTTAGCCCTCACAAATCTTTTTAATAAGACGTTTCTACTTTGAGGCGGTAGTACTTGTCTGTAATCCCAGCACTTGGGAGCTGAGGCAGGAGGATTGTGAGTTTGAGGTCAGTGTGGGCTATATTGTGAAACCCTGTCTCAAGAAGAAAGAAAAAAACCCAAACTAAGCAAAAAGTTTTGTTTACTTTTAATTCTAGTGTTTTTGATGTGATACCTTTGATTTTTAATTTCTTTTTTCACTGCAAGTTTCCTGATTTACAATGAATCAGGCAGTCTGGGTTCACCATGAAGTCAGTTGCTTTCTATGCAGAGTCAAATGAATTAACATGGCAGCCATGGTGTCCCTTAGAGGCTGTGCCCTTTGTTCAGCCTAGAACTGAGATTTCCAAGGGATAGTTATTTACTCAGGAATGTTTTTTTGAAGATAAAGAATGAAGAGTATTGAAAAAAATCAAAGCGAAACCAAAAGGAAATAAACAAAAATTCCTTACAACAAATTTTGGTGAACATGGAAGAGGATGGATTGATTGAATATAATGATAGTTCCAGTTGTCTTTGCTACTAGGTAGTGTGGAATCACAGCGTGAATGGCAGGTGCCCTGTGCTCCACTTGGAGGAAGGATGGGGCAGCTGGATATGCAGTGAGCTTTGGCCTAGGCTTGGGATGCCATTCCTAAGATGTACAGATGTGAGACACATATCAAGGAGAGAAGCCTTGCAAGCCAGGGTCATGATATAATATCTTTTGAGGGTGCCATAACCATGTAGATACCACTGTAGGAGTGTTAACATGGAAGGACAGGAATAATTTGATCTTTAGATGCCTTTCCTGTCTGTTAGTTACTGAAAATCTTGATAGTCATTGAGAAAGAGAGAAAGGACTTTCCCAGCCTCTAGTCATTGCATTGATCAATTTGGATCTTGTGTTTAAGAACTGAACTCAACTCTGGATACCATGGGGTACTGTTTAAAGTACTGAAGGCAACTTTCATCTTCCAAATGAAATCTAGAGAACTATAGTGTTTTCTAGCACCCTGAACAGCATAACTTAGGACCATGACACATGTTTTATTTTATTTTTGTTTCTCATTTTCATTTCCTTGGCTCCCAACATAGTAGCCCTCCACCCCTTATTTGCACATCAGCTGGGAACTTTTTATTGCTATTCCACTTTATTGTATTCTTAAATACACATTCTTTCACAATTCTGATTCAGTGGTTCTCAGATTGGACTTTGGTTTTTTTTTTCTTATTTTTAAAGATACCTGATGAGTTACCATGGGTAATGCTCTGCGCCATGCTAGATTTTTCTGCTTGTGATTCAGAATCAGACAGTTGTTTGGTTACCTTAGGCAATTCTGTAGACAGAATCTCCATTTAGAAATAACCTGTCCCCGTCCAGTACTGGTGGCTTATACCTGTAATCCTAGCTATTTGGGAGATTGAGATCAAGAAGATTGCTGATCAAGGCCAGCCCAGGCAAGTAATTTGCTAGACCCCTATAGCCAAAAAATAACCAGAGAAAAATGAACTGCAAGTGGGGCTTAAGTGGTAGAATGCCTGCTTTGCAAGTGCAAAGCCCTGAGTTCAAGCCCTAGTCCCACCAAAAGAGAAAAAAAGAAAAAGAATAACATGGCCCAGCTGAGTGAGAAATCAAAACTCTGAATGCAATCTCATGGTCAATTTCCTCTTCTCTCCTCCCCAAGTTCAGGCTAGC